CCGACTCAGCCTCCATGGTTTTGAGGGGTGTGCAATGGCTCAAGGGCTGGGCAGGTGCCATCGGCCTGGCCCTCTTGTTGCTTTCAGTCCTCTGTTTTATATTACGCCGCCTTCGGCTTCATTCCCAGGCCCTGGCTCAACAGCGCCTCGTGACGACTCAGGTTGCCCTCGCTCTCCAGTCTCAACATCCCCTCGATCAGGTGTGGATCAACCTGATCCAGAAGGGCCGGTGAGCCAATGACGGGTAAGATGGGTGTCACTGGTGACCAACCTAAGACAGGTCATGGGGGCGTTGCTCCCCTATGGCTGAAGACGGGTAAGGCACCTTATGGCACCCACAACCTAAGACAGGCCCGTGTCCAAAAACAACAAAAAACGGGGGATATGAGGAGAGCTGTGGAGTCGAGGATACTGAAGGACTAGAAAAAACACTGTGCGCTTTTAAAGAACAAGGGTCTCTTGCACCTGAAAGGGAGTATGTTTTTGCTGACAAACAAAGGGGGTGAAAAAGTATGGAGGTGGGGACTGTGGGATATATAAGGAGAGAATCTGAACAATAAAGGAGCTTCTTTTTGCCCGTGAATCCTGTGTGTGAGTGTGTGTGTGTGCCTGGTTCATCATCATCCCAGCCCGCACCTCAAGACCACGTTGCCTGGCTGACCTGGGGTTAAGAGTTTGCGTTCCAGAGGTATAGGGCCTCCCCTTGCAAGTGTTGCTACAGTGCCATGTGCCATGCCCACCACGGCATGCTCTCACCCCTCCCTCCAACCCTGACAGGGAGTCTCAGTTCTGTATCAGAATTCTGGGGCCTACCAAAAATTATGAGGCTCACTGTAATATTGTTAAGATTCAAAATCCAGAAGATCATAAAGACAGCACATAAGTTACACATATTTTAAAATCTTATTCTTGAACCCTCAATAAAATTGGAGGATTTTGGTGGGTTTTGATATGTATCTTCCTGTTTTTCAAGAGCATATTTAGAGAATAACTCGATGAGAATATAATGGAGTTCAGAATTCCATGTTGAGAAGTCCAAATTGGAATTTCTGTCCAGAGAGATGAAATGTGTTTCTTGGAGATACCAAAACAATAATTTTAAAACGAGCTCTTGGCTTCATGCTTAACAAATTCCAGCATCTACTTCTTTACAGTATCTAGTTGTTTTTCATGAATCAATCATAACTGATAGTCAAGGTAAAGAAGTGATACGCTAGAGGTATTTTATAAATACCTCAATGCGCTGACCCAGTGGACATAATTATTCTAGGTGCATCACAACTGAGGAGTGATAGACACATAATCCCTGCTCCCTGGTGCTGTGTAAGTGTCTGGACTGTCCTGAAGGGCAGGCAGGGGTGATCACTTATCCTCTCCTGAGCTAGGCTTGTCCAGACTTCCATAGAATGGGTAGCCCTATCAATAGTTCCTTATCTTACATGCCAAGAAAATGCTAATATGAGAATTATTTTAGGGTTTACAGAGCCCAATGAATAGGTAGCCAGAATTCAACCACTCGCCAGGAACTTGTCTCCACGTCATTGTCTCCAGCAGGTGATGCAGAACCTCCTCTGAAGGACAACCCAGTTGAAACACTGCTTTCTGCATGGCTCCAGCCCTCAAAACCACCGTCCACTCTCCTACCCGTAGAGTGTGCTGTGCACGTGTTCCTTAGGAGAACAGAGTCCCTCCTAAACTTGACTCTCCCGGGGGATGCTTTCCCCTCTTGGTCCAACCTCAAGGGTGCAGTTCTTGGTTTCGCCAGAGTGGGTGCTAGAGGCCCTCTCGGGAACCTCAGGAAGAAACATCCATCCAGGGAGGTCAGCCTTGCCCTATCAGCATTGACCTCACTGTGAGCACTTTCCAGGTGTGCCGTGTCTTTGAACCTCTAGTCCACGATGGGAGCTCAAATGCATACAATCAGGAGACCAGTATCCATCCTGCAAGTTGGGGCTATCAGGAAAAAGGAGAGTGAGGCAGTCTGGTCTTGCAAGATCCACTGTCCTATGACAGTGAGTGCAGACAAATTCCCTGCTCGGGTTGTTGCCATCCCCACAAGTGTGTTAACAGAAGTAAACAGTCAGGGTTTCCATGGGGTCCTTTGTGGAGTGGGGGCCATGAGGAAGGCTGCTTCCTTTCTGGGGGGATTTCACACAAGAAAACTTCCTGGTCCACTTCCTGGTGCCTCCTGAACATCTCATATGCCCCTTCACATCATCTAACCGCATAGCCTCTGCTCTGCAGTGTTCTGCACCAACCCCCCCCCCCAGTCCTTTCTGACAAAATTATGCTGTGGTATGAACCTTATCTAACAAATATGTTGAGGACCCTGTGCCGCCGCCTCGGTCTCTGGCCGACACCAGGTACCCTTTCTTCATCCAGCCACTGCTTCCCTTCTGTGTGTCTGGAGCCACACCTTTCATTGAAGGTGTGACTCTGATTAAGCAATGCCTTTTTTGAGAACTACCTACCCCCCATCAGTTACATAGTCGGAGCGTTTCTCAAGCAACACTTCTCTGGTAGCATTTTCACATTCACCTTTAGTTATTTATTGAGTCATTGCCTATAATTTCCAAATGTCTCCAAACATGGGAGTATATTATTGGTTGCACTGAAGATGGTCACAGCTCTTGTGTTTTTCTTTGCAAATGGCATGCAGATTCCACACTCAGATTCCCACCTGCTCCATTCTCCAATCTGTCCATTTCTAGAATAGGATCGCACACACTAAGCAGAGCTCCTTACATGGGTCAATCCCTATCTCCTACAAGAACAAAGACCAGGGTCCTCCCTCGTGGCACAAAGGGTTAAGTCCAGGCACTATAAAGCTGTCTGCTACTGCTCAGCACGAGTTAGATTCCCCCCACCAGGAAGTGACCCCCAGGGCCCAGCAGACCTTCCCTGTCTCGCCCGCTGCTTCCCTCAGCAGTGGATTTCAGTAGATCTGCCTGTTCTGCTCCCCACTCTGTCTCTGGTGAATCCACTCACTCCCCACACCTCTGTTCTAATGCATATATCAATGAATCTTTGAAAAAGAAAAAAAAAAAAGACCAGTGACACCCAAATGATTCACAGAACAAGAAACCTCAAATGTAGATTAATCCTCCCTCCTACCCCATGATACCATTGATTACCAGCCTTGGAGAGGGTCTCCAAACCTCTTCTGCTTAGGGTAATTTCTTGCACACCCCTTCCTTCTGCCATCACTTTCTAGAACTCCTGGGAGCACTTTTCTGATTGCTTCTGCTTTGATTCATGAATCGTTGAATAAAACCAAGGAGAGCTTTCACATGGACTCTGCTGAATGTTGGTTTGTGACACATGGAATGATCTGGGGCTCCACAGTGGGTGAGCCAGCAGCACAGGGCAGAGCGGGCCCTTTCCTGTCCTCAGCCCACCAGCCCACGCCTGGGGCCTCCTCTCCTCTGGTCCTGGGAAACCCCAGGAACAGATTAAAAGTGTGTTCCAGGCACGTGCTGAGTTCACTTCCCGGGGAGGGTTTGTGCTTGGGAGGGATTCGAGCACAAGAAGCCTAACTCCTGAACATGAATCTGATCTGCTCTTAACACTAGCGGGAGTGCAAGACAGGGCGGAGGTGGGCCAGGGCGGTGGCATTTCCGAAGCAGAGATTTCAAGGAAAAAGGAGGTTGATCACCCATGTAATTAAGAACTGCATGTAGCTTAAGGTTGGTGGACCTCAGTAGAGACAGGGAGATGCAGGGAAGGTGAGTTTAGATGATACAAAGAAGGGTGCAGACAAAGATAAAAGCTAAAACACCCTTCGAGTGCCCCAGGGTGGAGACGCCCTGTGGAGTGACGGGGGTGATTCCTCTCAAGGTGAGAAAGGATTCTCCCGAGGGAGAGTGGAGGAAGGATGGACAGTAACCCAGGGACCTTTTAGACAGGGAGGCCGATAAGCCACAGTGCTCCTCAGGGCTCTATGTGGGTGGGACAGGCCCTCTCCCATCACCCTTCTGCCTCTGCAACACCATTGGGGTTGTCACCTGTGCTAGTGACCATGCTCTGGACTCTGAAAGGCAAAACAATCTCCTTTCAGAGATAGTCCTCTCCCAAGTCAGAGCACATTTTGCTTCCAGAAGCAAAACAGTCCCTCTGTCCCTGGATGGCAGTGAAGAGAAGGGCCCAAAGCGGCCTCTGACGGCCGCTGGAAGCCACTGGACGCCTCCGGGACCATCTTGGACCTCACTGAGAACTCCCTGAGCTTGAAGCCTTAAAGAAACAGGTTTTTCCACCCACCAGAGGTTAGACGTGCGGGAGCTCCTGAGCCCTGTCCAGGGCCACACGCTCCCCCCCACACCCCCAGCCCATGAACGGTCCCCTTTGCCTGGAAAGATGACACGTGGGAATAAGCCCAAGTACATGCTGGACATGGTAGGTGACTGAGGAAACGCACCTGTAAGATGACATGACACTGGCTACACTTAGAATGTGACGACGAAATCAAACGCCCTCGTGTGGTCCTTCCCAGCCTGGGGTCACAGGGGCTCTCCTTCAAGGCGCAGTCAGAGCTGCTTTGGCAGACATGAGGCAGTTTCTACAGAGCTAAGGCATTTATACGACACACCCCAGGGCAATCTTTCTCCTAGGTATTTCCTAATTCAGCGACATGTTTTCAGGCGGAAGTTACATGCAGAGTCTTCACCAAAGTGTGACTGGGCCCAGTGTGGCCTAGTGGGGGGCACCAGGCGCCATGCCATCGGCTACCGCCAGAGGGCGCAGGTCTCCCCTTCCTGAGCACATGTCCCTGTCCCCTGCCTCCCGAAGGGGTGTCCTGTGTGACTCCCCTTCCTACCCAGCTTCCTCAGCAGGCCAAGCTCAGTTGAAGGCGGGCTTGCTCAGCAGGCCAAGCTCAGTTGAAGGCGGGCTTGCTCAGCCTCTGAGGGGATTTGCATGGAGCCCGGGGCTGTGCCTAAGGGCGACTCCTGGGGGAGGTGGCTCACCCTGCCCTGGGCTCAGCAAGGGGAGCGGACCATGCAACCATGGCCTGGGCGCAGCTTGCTCTCCCCGTCCTAGCTCTCTGCACAGGTGGGGCCAGCGGGGTTCTGGGGCGCACGTGGGCTCACCCAGAGGACCCCCTCCCTCCTCCCTGGGACCCTGTCAAGTCTGTCCTCACTGACCCCTGTGCTGCTCCCTCCCCCCCGCAGGGTCCTGGGCCCAGTTTGAGCTGACCCAGCCCTGTTCAGCGTTGCGGTCTGTGGGGCAGATGGTCACCATCTCCTGCACCCACAGCAGTGGCATCATTGAAGGTGCCTATGTGGTCTGGTACCAGAAGCGCCCGGGCACTGTGATTTATGCTCATCACCAGATATCCTCTGGGGTCCCCGATAGGCTCTCTGGCTCCATCAACAGCTCCTCCAGTGCCGCCGCCCTGACCATCTCTGGGCTGCAGCCCAAGGATGAGGCTGACTACTACTGTTTGTCTTACCACAGCAGCTATAGTTCATAGTGCCCCAGACAGGCAGGGAAGTGAGACCAAAACTCCCCAATTCCCCAAC